TCTGCAGTGTCAGATGAGTCTTGTATCATTTTGTTCGCCGAAGCGACCTCATGCTCATCACGAACGATGCTCTGACGTATTAACTCTGCGATTCGTGGGGTTTTAAGCAACCTGTGCTTCTTCAACACGTTTAAAGCTGGGATGACAGAAGTAAGATATCATTCAGAACTGCAGTAAAGTATGAGAAGTTTAGAACAAGGTTACCAGTAGCATGAAAGACGAAGATGTTTCAACAGAAGAGGAGTAAAACCAGAATAGTTAAACGAATGATAATCACTGTAAGTTAAAAATGACGAGGCGGTTTCCCCTAAAAGCTATAGCACCTGCTAAGATCTATCAATTTTAAAAGTCTTATATTCCATTTCTAGATGCAGAGATTGCAGCGGCAGAAGGACGTTTGTGTGGATTGTGTGGTGGGACTTGTGATCCAGATCTTTCATTGCAGGCAAGCTAAATGCCAAGGCGTGACACTCTCAAGTGTTGAGCACAGCGGAGCCATGTGACACTCATTCTGTCCTCCAGTCATAGTTCCGTCCTCATATCTTTTTTCTTATACCCTGATCACATATCCAAATTATTGCAGTTGTGACTTTTCGACCAGGAGCAGTAACAACTTGCAAAAACTGCATCCTAAATTTCCGTTTTGAGAGCTTGGCCAAACCTCTTCATTCACCAGTTCATAGCTAATTCTGCCAGCAGTATCTAGAAATGCACCTTTGGTCAATATGCAGCATTCATAACCGCGCAGACGGGTGTCTCCGTGAATATGCACTCAAGCAAGGCTTATGAGTTATGTGGAGAAACTGCGACACAACGATTCAAAAGTCAAAATTCCGTCGACACGTTAGCACTGAGAGTTCATAACATGGAACCTTGCACTAAAACGAGCTACAGTTAAACGAATTCCCCTTCGTCTCGATTGTACCTTTAAGACTTGTCGCACGTTTGACCACCAAAACAGTCGCTAACGAGTCTGTGACATACATGGCATTAGCAAAACCTTTTCAAATTTGCATGTACAAATTTCATTAAGCAAAATCCTAGCATTTTAGATCGAGCTGGATTAACCTTCAGAGGATATTATGCAACAACAAGTGCAAAAAATCAACAATCAAACGACAGGCTTGTGTTTAATAAACTGTATATGAGGAATGATCCTTTTCAAAAAATTAGCGTTTAAATACTTCTTACTTCGAACCCAAAAATAAAGGTCAGAGTAGAGGTCTGTCATACGCATTCGTCTGTGAGGTGAATGCAGTGAAGCATCGCACCACCCACTCTATTCACTCAGCTCCACGATACCTGAAACCATCGATGCATATATGCTAATAATCAATGGCGTGGAAGGGAAACCATTGACGAGCTTTATAACCAATGAACGCCCTGTCAGCCGTTACCAAGGAGATGTTTCCACTGGAATAGTTTTCGACTCTGTCTCTTAGTCTGCCCAGCCAGCTGGAATATCGATAAGGTCTATTTGATATTCCTTGTTCTTCTGTATGGTTTTGAAAGCAAGTAATGGTGGTTCAGATAAAACTGTAGACCTGTTAAAGAAACGATTATTTGATGTACTGTGGATTATAACTATAACAATTGTAAGTTTTATAAATTAATTAATTATGTACAAAACTAAAGGACCAGTGTTTAACTTCACTTTTTGGCTCCTCTCGCACTGCCAAGTTTTCAGGTTGATTTCCTAGTGGCCGGCAGCAAATTCATTGCTCATGTGCATCACCTGGTCATAACTATTACAAACCATCTCAGCACTAAGGTGGTAGTTGAGAATAGTGTATGGTTAAGTGTGCTCACCTTTTACGGTAATTACAGCGCAAATGGCAATGGCAGGCGTCATCCATGCATCTTTGCTATAGACGGCCTACTTATTCAGGACACTATTCTCTCATAAGCGAATAAACAGAACAATCTGCACATCCGTCGATGGAAGCCTAAGCACCTAACTGGATCTCTTCCTCCTCAGCCGCAAATAACGCAGCTCCTTACTCAAGACTCGCGTCA